GCGACGACACCTACCTCGGAGAGCGAAGATGAAATAGAAGTTCCGGTCGCTGGGCCGCACGGAAACCTCGGACATGGCGATGACGATGTGGCAGCGAAATCTGGAACTGCAGTCAGGCGTAAACCCGGAGGTTATGACAGCCGTATCGAACAGATTTTATACGAGTATCCTGATTTGCCTATTCTCATCACCGACGCTGGAAAGAGCGTAGAGAGCGGCGGCCGTTATATCGTGTACACTATCCGCACCGGGGTAAGGCAAACTCCTTTCGAACGTTTTGTAGCTGTGTCTTCTTTTTCTCGAGACTGAACTACATGGACTTTTACTGATATCTCGGGACTAGGATCTGGAAGTGCGCCGACGCTATTCAGAGTTTGCCTCGCTTCGTGATGCACTCACCCGTCTGCACCCCACGTTGGTCATCCCACCAATTCCTGAGAAACATACCATGGCGGACTATGCCGCCAACCCTACCAACGCGAAACAGGACCAGCAAATCATTGATCTGCGGAAACGTATGCTGGCCGTGTTTTTGAACCGCTGCCGTCGAATGGAGGACGTAGTAACAGATGGTGTGTGGTGGAGGTTCCTTGATCCTAATGCAAGCTGGGTACGCACGCAAGCATTCTCTCATGCCTTCAATTGATTCTAACGGTAGTATAGAGCGAGGTCTTACACTCTCACCCGGTTGCCTCGATTCCAAAGTCTGTGTTGCGGGCACCTCCCTTGGATCCAGCAAACCCTTCCGAGGCGCACGCGTACCTCCCCGTACCATCAACCTCCGCAAAGCTAAAGACCACGGGAAGTTCTTCCTATAATATGAACGCATCTGCGATCCAGGGTGGTGCAAATGGCATCAGACGGTTCCCACCCGATTCCCTAGGAATGAGCGAGCAGGAGCTTGACACATACTTCATATCATATGAAGCTTCGATCAAGGAACTAGAGAACCTCTTGACAGGCCCTATGGAGAAAGTCAACCGCCGTACGCTCAGCCACCTTTCATCACTAGCTGCCGATCTTTGCGAGCTCGGATCAAAATACAACGCCTTTGCCTTGTCTGAACCAGCTCCTACTTTGGGACCAGCCATTGAGAAAGTTGGACAGGCAGCAGATCTATCTTATATTGCTACGGAGGAGCTTTCGGGTTCCCTTGGAGCAAGTTTTGCCGAACCGATGAGAGAGAGCGCGCAGTTTGCAGGGGTTGTTCGGAGTGTCCTGCGGTACAGGGTCATGAAGCGCGTGCAGCAAGACCTCACTACAGATGAATTAAACAAGAAGAGGGCTCTGTTGGACCAACTAGAGCGCAGTGAAGCTGAGGCTAGACGTATCGACCAATATCTCTCGAGCAGCCAACAAATATCACCACCACCTAAACGATCGACGAGTCTTAAGGAGTCGGCGCCGGGTCACAGACGAGACGGAAGTCAAGAGGATACAGAATCCATCGACTCTGATTTCCCTCCAACTCATGGGGAGTCAGCGGCCCCTTCAGCGAGCCAAGGTGTCCCAGAGAGGAGTACCAGCGTGGGTCATAGGAAGATTCCCAGCGGGAACTCATTTACGAATAAGATCTTTGGACCGATCCGTCACGCGGTACAGGGCGTTGTGGATCATGACCCCGAGCGAACAAGACGAGACACGATCGGAAAGACGCGGGAGTCTATTGGACAGCTTGAGCAGGCTCAGGTTGTGTCTGAGGCTGACGTGAAAGTTGCAAGTGCCAGCGTTCTCGGAGATTTGAAGAGATTTCAGAATGAAAAGGAAGAAGATTTGCGCCGTTACATGGTAGGTTGCTGCTCTATAAAAACCTCCCGTCTATTTGATCACTCAAGTAATACTGACCGCAACAGCTTGCCTACGCCAAGAGTCAAATCGAATGGGCCAAGAAAAGCAAGCAGCAATGGGAAGAAGCCAGGACCGAGATTGACAAGATAGAAGAGAGTTGAAGCTCGATGTGAATAAATTTGATTAGTATCTCGCCATCAAAGTATATATTTAATATTCTAAAAATATTGTCACCATAAGTTACCATGAAGCTCGTTAGACGGTGGTGTGTTAAGAATGCCGATAGGGGTGGTGGACATTGAATTTCTGTTTTTTTGTGTTCTTGTCAACCAGAGTAGGGTCTTCTACCATATAGAGACCGTAGGTGTGGCCAAGAGTGCTCGTTAGGTGATATAAGTACCTACTAACCCAGAGCCTACCCAAAGAACAACTGAGTACTAACAGGCCAAACCACACCCTAGCAAGTGGGTGAGAGGAGCAGAGACACCCAATGGAAGAGTTAGCGAAACAGACTACTTTCTACAATAAATAGAGAAATTCAGCAGTACAAAATAAAATAAAGTAATAATATACACTATGTTATCTCTGAAATATATATTAGTTAGCACTTAATAGTCTGATAATACCAGTCGCAGACTCGAAAATAAGCAGCTTGATGTGTGAGTGTCTCAATTTCAATGTCACCCACTAGTACATCTTTGAGCGTAGCGGTCGCAGCGATCGCTCGTCTTGACAGTAGACGCGCTGGTCAGCTTTCCATGAATCGCCTGTCGTGGCGGCAAATAGCTAGGCCAGCTACACAACAATCGCTCGTCTTGACGGTAGACACGCTAGTCGGCTACATAGTTATTGCTTGTCATAGTAGCAGACAAGGCACGAGAGAGAGGGTGGTTACGATAGCTTAACGTGTTTCAATGTATCAAAAGGTACCTTTTCGGTATACTACTACGTAACCTCATGTACAGTTTGAGTGGTAACACTATACCTAAAGATATCCTAGTGGGTGTGGTTTGGTCTATACTCAGAACAACTCGCAAGTAACGTGGGTCAATAGACGTGTACTAATAAGGCTGCACTGGCAAGTGGGCGTCAGAATAACTGGGACTGCAAAGGTGTCTTAATCCCAGCTTTCCAATACAGGCCACGATATTGATAGACAGGAGTTGATGATAAGAACAATAATAAATTATTGAGTAATTATTAGGGAATATTATCCGCTTACTATTACACAATAGGAAACAATAGGAAGCATGTAATGTGACTGACTGCCACAAGAATTCTATCAACGGGACTTTGTAGTCCCTGTTTTTCTGACAGCCACTTGACTTGGTCGACTTCCCCACTTTTTGCTATGCTGCCTTCGTCAGTGCATCTTTGAACGTTCACTTGCATCATCCGTTAGGCGGGAAGTTGCATCAACCGCGACTTCCTCAGCCAGCCAGGTGGTTCAAAAGCCCGCCGTGCCCACGTTCCGTCCTGCTCCTCTCTTTTCGAACACCCCCAACATCACGAAAATGGCCAGCAATATCAACCATCCGATCACGTCCTTGGAACAGCCAGGCATACGGGCGGAGGGTAATGAACGCCACGAACTGCGCAAAGAAGTTGCCGACCTCCTTGGCCGATCTCAATTGGGTTTCCCCGGCGCGCAGCCTGTCAGCTTTGCTAGACAACACCTGGAGGAGCTTACCAAGAAGGAGTAAGAAAGCCCGCCTAACGCTGTCTTGATTTCACTAACCAATCTGTAGTTATTTCATTTGCGAAAAGTCGGACGGAATACGCTACTTGCTCTACTCGACCGAGGATCAGGGGAGAGAGACGCATTACCTGATCGATCGAAAGAACGATTACTGGTACATCAACAACTCGAACCTACACTTACCTCTTCCCAACAACCCCACAGGGTTTCACACTCAAACTATTATCGATGGCGAATTAGTATGGGATAACTTGGCTGATGGAAGCGAACGACCAACATTCTTGATGTTCGACTGCCTGGTGATGGATGGCTTCAGATTAATGGACCGCACTTTGGACAAGCGCATAGCGTACCTCACGGAACGCCTCTACACCCCGTACGAGACCCTCTTCGAGAATTTTCCAAAGGAGATACCGTTCCAGCCGTTTTGCCTTAAGATGAAACAATTCCAATTTGGTTACGGGTTGGAGAAGATGTTCGAAGAAGTCCTCCCAAATCTTCGACATAAAAACGATGGCCTGGTCTTCACATGCCGGACCACTCCTTACAAATATGGCACAGATCCCCATATTCTGAAGTGGAAGCAGCCCGAGGATAACACGGTGGACTACCGGCTGAAACTTAAATTTCACGAGGTCGAGCCTACGGAGGAGGAGCGGAGGGAAGGTCTCGGGCCATGGACTGATTATGACAGCTTGCCAATATCACAGTTGCTGGTATACACCGGTCGTGATGGTCCAGAAAAATATGAGTACTTTGAAGATGTGCACATTACGGAAGAAGAGTGGGAAACACTCAAGGCTCTGCAGGTTCCTCTCGACGACATGATCGTCGAATGCTACTTGGATCAGCAGCGTCGGTGGCGCATTGCCAGGTCTAGGATCGATAAACCTGAGGCAAACCACAAGAGTACTGTTGTTAGTGTCCTCAAAAGCATCCAGGATGGCGTCTCAGAGCAGGATCTTCTCCAAAAAAGAGTTGATATTCGACTTGCCTGGAAGGCGCGCCAACAAGGCGGGTCAAAATGACCAGAGCCAGTGGTGTGAGCTTGCCTAGGGTATGAGGCCGGAGTTGACTGGTTAAACAAGGATTGGGTTTCCTATGATTTCATTGGTTGGATATAGTCAGGCGTTGGTTTCTTTTATTTCAAGAGGCAGTTCCAGTTCATTTCTCGGGTCAATTTCGCGAACAGTCTCGTGTTGAAGTTTCCCATGTTTAGCCTATGAAGATTCATTTTTGATTGTGCTACCTAACCTGATTTATTTGACGTGTCCCAATGGTACTAAACCAGGATATGACGCACGATTGCTGCCCCAAATTTCGAACCGATTTGAGACTCCCATAATTCGTGTCATTACATTTTGCATTCCGAACAATAGCCCTTATCTCAGGCCTCTCTTCCTCCGTAAGGTGTTTCCTGGCATGGAAACTCAAGACTTAATTACCATCTCCAAGCTTTCTTCTTCACCCGTCTCCAATCCCCTGGAGTTTTGAAAAAGCGGTTTTACCATTAGTAGAGAAACATGATGACTGCGACGAGCACCATGGCATGAATATGATGGAGGCCGGTGCCGCACGGCCCAGCTCTCTCGTTGGCTCCCGAGACCACGACCGGGGTGGTAGGCGCAACAACGCTGCTCACTGTCCCATAGGGGTAGGAGGACGCAGTGCCGTTGCTGGGGTAGGGAGGCTCACTGAGAAAGACAGTGGCGGTGATGCTGGCGGTGGACGAGATGGTCTCGTGCCTGTCGGAGGCGGTGGCGCCGTCGACGTTGGAGGCGTAGGAGACCTCGGCGGCGCTGGTGTCCTTGTCATCGACGGGGGTCGAGTAGGGCGGGGCGGACTCGGTGGTGGTCGCGGTGCTGACCCTCGTGACCACTGTGGTGACGGTGGAATGGGTCGAGGTCTGCCAGAGGTCGGAGATGACAATGGTCAGCTTCGTGTTGTAGCGAGCGGTGGAGCTTGATGTCAGAGAATAGGTGGCGTCGAGGTTGGTGACGGTCGAGGGGTTCCCTGAGACGGTTGCGTCGGGGAGGCCCGAGGTGACTGAGAGCTGTGTCTGGACATCCGTTATGGTGGATGGGTTTCCGGAGACAGTGGCGTCTGGCAAGCCGCTTGTGTAGGAGAGATCGGTGTGGACCTGGGTCAGTGTTGACGGGTTGTTTGACACAGTGGCGTCTGGCAGCCCACTGGTGTAGGAAGTCTCAGTGTTGACTGCTGTGACGGTGGATGCGTCGCCGGTGATGGTCACGTATCCGGACCAGTGGTCAGAAGTGGTTGGGATAACGGTGACGGTGACAACGGCAATCTTAGTCTCGGTGGTCACGACGGAAACGATGCAGCTGGTGTCTTCAGCGACGGAGGTAGATGCTTCCACAGTGACGGGATACTCGGTTGTCTTGGGGATTCTGCTCAAGCTGTAGATTGTCGACAGCTCAGTCTGAGTCCTAGATGCAGGTTTCTCTGTCAGATATGGCACTGAGAAGGCAGCCAAGGGGGGTTTGACATCTAGGTTTCCAAGACTTACGAGATAGGGATCATAAGACCTCCGTCATCCGAAGGAGTGGGAGTGGGAGACGCAGCTGACATGGGAGCATCCTCGGCAAGGCGTGGAGCAGGAGGCATAATAGAGGGGGGGTATTCCTCATCAAAGCGGTCATCGCGAGCGTCCAGCTTGGGATCCTTGTGGACTTCAGGAGACTCCAGCACAGCGAGACCATGATTCGAGTGCAACGAGCGTTCTGGTAACGGGCCGTTTAGAGGAGTTCGTGTACCACAAAACGGAACGAGGCAGAGCAAACGGGGGAGGAGAACGTACCACAAACGGAGGCGAGGACGCCGAGCCCAAAAACAGCCCCGACGCCAAAGACGAAAAGAACAGCCCACATGGCTGCCTTCTTCAAGTCCAGATGATGCCTGGGCTTGGCGACAGGTGTAAAGTCGGAGGCGGAATCAGCAGCGCACTCCGGGTCCTTCTTCTTGAGATCGTTCACTGTTTTTGGGTGGCGGTTAGCTGTGTGCATGATGAGATGCAGGATGAAGGAAACTTACTTGTAACGGCTTCTTTGGAAACACAAGCGACGAAAATGGTATCTATTTCCTTGGATGTCAGCACTGTCTCGGATGTGTGGCGTGCTTTGAATGAAGCCTGTGAAAGGGCGAAGAAGAGGTGATGAAATTACAGGTCGAGGGACACAGCCACGAGAACTCGAGAGCTGAGGTCAAGAGGTGCAACATACCAAGTGTTTTTTTTTCTTGAATCTCGGTGTGAGAGGAATGGTAAGGCTATCAAAGTTAAAATGAGCGTTGTTGCTTGATGATAACGAGTATCGTCGAGTCAAGTGTGGTTAGGATGGAGAGAATGTGTTTGTTGGCAAACGGATGTGAGGAGGGGAATTGTTGTTGTTGAGGGAGGGGGATGTGAGATGAGAAATAACTAAAGCGCGAAAGAGGAACGCGAAAGAATCACGCAGCAGGTAAACAAAGAAGAGAGTCGGATCAGCTGTTTGGCGTGCACTTGGTTGACGGCCGTGAATCACCGTTGACAGTTGCAAGTGGAGTGCTGGTAGAGGAGCACTGTTGGTGACAGTGCAGGTAACTGCGCAGATAGAGGATGAAAAGCAGCGGGATCAGGCAGAGACCCGAGTGGTGCATTTCACATACCTCTTTCGACCTTAAATAATACTTGAGGTCGGGTGCAGATGGTGTTGCTTGGAAGTGACGCGGGAGTGAGAATGAGCCAGGGCGGTCTGAAGTCGGACTCTAAGGCTCAACCTGATCTGGCAGTGTGTATACCGAAGAGTTTGTAGGTAGCGTGCTACTTGGCTCACAGGTACACAATATCCAAACAGAACAACCAGAATAAATTTCAATTTCAGATTTGTTGGAAAACAACCTTGTATTGACTCTCTGATTCTCCCAGACTCGGTTGGATCACCATGCAGCCAGGTAAGAAGCCAGTGAAGCACTTTGCGCGGAGGGCGGTGAACGTATCACAGGGAGTAGGGGCTTTGGAACATGGAAACATGAATATCCCAACTGCTTTCCTCGAGAAATTCAGGAATATTGCCTGCAAAGGACCGTAACTATGAATCACTGGGGCTCAAGGGGCTATTTATATCAAGATCAACTCTGACAGGTTTCCTTCGGTCGCATAAGGGATCAGCTTCAAAACGCCAAATAAGTCCTACTAGGTAGTATATGGCATTCATCTCCAGGACCGATCCCTTCAACGGCAAACATATAGCTACCTAAAATCGGTCGTGACACTGCTCATGCGAGATTGCTGCGGGAACAAGGATGCACGGCTACGGAATCGCTCCCTTGTGTAGCCTCCATCTTGATACTGTATGCAGCTGGAGCGTCGGCTGAGCCTAGTTGATTTGCAGGCTTTCATCCTCTATAAGTTGAAAAGAGACGACTTCAGTATTGAAATTCTCGAATTCTCGATGTCTCCATTGAAGGAAAGACCACAAGGATGAACCTCTGCCACTCGCATGCGCCTGCCTACCCGGGACTAGAAATGCGGCCCCACCATTCCAAGGTACACTGTACTACGCCATTGGAGGCAAGACACGGACAGGATCGCCCCTGGGTTACATGAGCATAGGTACCCGGTACCGCTGAGCTCTGGTGGGGAGGGGTGTATGATCACGCCTCTGCCTCGCGCGTCGCGTACTAACTCCAAGGTAGGATTGTCCAATTACTCCAACAGACGGGCCAATCTATCTCCAGGCGTCTGGACTGGCAGTACGTGCTCGTTTTCCACATCACATTAATGAACCACACTTTCGATTGATTCAAGGTCCGCAGCAAGAACCTTGTCCCACCTTCGCGTCCGCTTTCGCAGTCGAGCTTCCTTTCATCCCCTTGTTTGCGCATCGCTAGCGAGGGCTCATCAATCAGGTTGTTGTTCCTGGGAGTTTCAGCGCCATCCTAGTCAAGCAACCCGCTGCAAAGCTACAGGCAGTATTCGCGGTTCCACCATAATAACAACCAGCCAAAAAGCCCACCATAGCTGCGACCGAGCGCGACTCCATTGGGTCCATCTTGTACTCCCCCAATCTACGCAGCACCAAAGGTTGCCATCGCAGACAGCTCATCATGGCGCGCCGTCGCCCAGCCAGAGGCCGTGGCCGCGACCCGGAGGAGGAGCCCGTGGAGCAGGAAGAAGCCGTCCAGGAACAGCAGCCCGAACCTGAGGACCCCGAGGAGACAGAGCAAGCCGACCAAGAAGCAGACGAGTCGGCCGCAGAGGAAGAGGAGGATCAAGACGACGAAGTCAGGACTCTACAATTCAGGGAGGAGCTATCCTGGCGCCCTGCAAAGCCAATTGCCAGCGCAACTCTCGTGGCCCGCCTGGAGCGGCTATCCAAAGAGCTCGCTGATCACGATCAGGGAGCCATCGACCTCGACTCTGTCAAGGATGTGGCTGAGAAGTTGGCGCATCGAAATCTCATCCAACACAAGGATCGTGGTGTAAGGGCATATACAGCCTGCTGCCTTGTCGACATCCTACGCCTCTTTGTTCCCGATGCGCCTTTCACCAATGATCAGCTCAAGGCATGCCTACTCGCTTCCGCAAGACGCTATTGGCCAATCTTCATGCTAACATACGCTCCCAGATGATGTTCAGTCTCTTTGTTAAAGACATCCTACCCGCCCTCTACGATCCAACGAACCCTTACAACATGCAACATAAATACGTTCTGCTGTCTTTGACTGAAGTGAAGAGCGTACTTCTCATTTTCGACATCTCGGGCTCTGACAAACTTGTTCTTGAGCTCTTCAACTCGACGTTTGATGGTATTTCCAACAGCTCCAAGTCAAAGTCAGGGGAGCAGGTTGCCAAGGACGTCGAGATTCACCTGGGTACCATGCTCTCTCTTCTCATCGACGAAGCGCCTGGCAGTGTTCCGGCGAGCGTCATCGACGCTATCATCAGCCAGTTTCTGCGGGCAGCACCACCGGGGGGCGTCCGCAGCAAGGAACAAAACGGAAACCAATCCACCTTGCTACACAAGACGGAGCCTCCAGCCTACCTCATGGCCAGTAAAATATGCAACGAATGTGCTGATAAAATGACAAGATACGTGAGTCAATACTTCAGCGATGTCATTATCGGGGCTTCTAGTTTCGCGACCAAATCCAACGGCCACCAGCAAGGAGAGGATTCAGACGAAGAAGACGCCAATGCAGGTCCCTCAGAAAATGACCTTAAAAGTCTTCGCCAAGCCCATCTTCTGATTCGTGAACTTTGGCGCACCGCACCCACCATACTTCAAAACGTCGTGCCTCAAATAGACGCCGAGCTGTCTGCAGACAACTTATACCTTCGACAACTCGCCACCGAGACCTTTGGAGACATGATATCCGGCATTGGAGCGGCTGGGCCTCCTCCTCCACCTGTATTGGATTGTACTGCATATCCTCCCTTGCGACTGTTGGACGATCCATCTAGCACGTCGCTGGAGAGTGGGAATGCATTGACAAAACCATATTCTCCCCACTCTTTTGCTCAGACACATTCTGCCACGTACAGAAACTTTGTCGGACGAAAGAATGATAAAGCAGGTGTCATTCGTGCCGCTTGGGCAACTGCGGCGGGCTACATTTTGGCCACATCGGCCGGCGGGATCGGTTTGAGCAGGGTGGAAGAAAATGAGTTAATCAAGGCGCTTGCAGAGAAGCTCAACGACAGTGAGGAAAAGGTCCGTCTGGCAGCCGTAAAAGCGATTGAGCTCTTTGATTTCCGAGATATCATCTTGAAGCTCGGGACCGCTGGCGGTATTGATAAGGAGGGCTCTATCTTCGCAAACCTCGGAGATCGCAGCCGAGATCGAAAGCAAGCTGTTCGAGTTGAGGCTATGGTGCTCCTTGGAAAGTTATGGGCAGTGGGTGCCGCGGAGATTGCTGATGGTCAGGAGGCAGTTACGGCCTGCTTGGCTGGTGTCCCATCACGCATTTTCAACGCCTTCTATGCTAATGATGCCGATTTGAATGTTCTGCTTGATCGCGTCATGTTCGAATGCCTGGTTCCTCTTAAATATCCGCTTGTCAAAGGGAAGGACGGCAAGGCAAAATCCGGTCCGAGTCAGAGCAAGAGTGGTGGCTTAAGCGCCGCAGAGCAAGACACACTTCGCGCCGAGAGGATTCTACTGATGCTCAAGTCTCTCGATTCCCCAGCACAGAAAGCATTCTTTGCCATGCAGGCACGGCAGCCTCAGTTTGCCATTGCAGTCGGGCTATTTATCAAGCAATGTGAGGCCTACAATGGTGGCGTCAACGTCGAGGGCAGTGAGGAGAAGATCAAAGCATCAATGAACAAGACCCTACACTGGCTGGGTGCGTATTTCCCTGACCAACTCAAGGTTCGCAACGACCTGCACAAACTTGCCAAACTCAATGACAGACGGGCGTATCAACTCATAAAGTATACGATTGAATCGGAGAGTGACTTCCAGAGAGTGCGCCGATCTATCCACGAGCTTATCCCCAAGCTGCAGGAAAGCAACGCGGCAAGTTCTCTGGATACCCTCATTCCTCTTCTCTATAGATCAGGTTCCTTGATTTTCAATCGGAGTCATCTAACCACTATTATGGATTACTCCAAGAGCGATAAGGATGGCCTCGCCAGCGTTGCCCACTCCATCCTGAATGAAATCTCGACACGGAATCCAGATCTATTCAAGGCACACTCCGACGAGCTTCGCAAGTCAATTATCGACCAGGCCCCAGCAGCGAGCAAGCCTAATGACCATGCTGTTGTGGACATGCTCAAGGCATTTTCTTCTTACTCGAAGAAGTATCCAGATGAAGTGAAACCGGATAGAAGCTTCACGCAAACCCTCATGAATTACGCCCTCTACGGATCTCCCCCCAAAGCGGCCAAGTATGCTGTCAATATTCTGCTCGCAAAGAATGACGACAAAAGCAAGGTCACGGCGACAACTCTCCTACAGAAAGTGATGAAAGGCTTGGAATTTGGCTCACCGAATTTCCTCAACAAACTTGCCACCATTAGCCAGTTGGCAAGGCTAGCACCAACCGTCACTGCGGATTCCGATGATGCAATCACTGAGCTGACCATCAATGGTATCTTGCGAGAGGTGCGCACCGACGCCAAACCTACTGACCCGTCTTGGGTACCTGAAGCAGATGTGGACGAGGAACTTCAAGCAAAGACTTTGGCGTTAAGGATTCTAGTCAACCGTGCGCTATCGTCTGTCGAAGATGCTGATTCGCATGAGAGAGTTAAGCCCCTTTTCAAACTTCTGAAAACACTTGTTGTTCAGGAGGGCGAATTTTGCAAAGTCAAAGATACGCCACTTCATCACAAAAAGCGCCTCAGGCTACTTGCTGGGCAGTCGATTCTGAAGTTATGCGCAGTGAAGAAGTACGATGATCAGTTGGATGCTGCAAGCTTCAACAAGTTGGCTGAGCTTGTTCAAGACAGCGAGCTTCAGGTTCGCTGTAGCTTCATGGAAAAGCTTCAGAGTTACCTGACCAGGGGCAAACTACGAGCACGTTTCTATACTATCCTCTTCCTAGTCGCCTTTGAACCGGTGACGGACGTTAAGAACAGAGTGGAAACCTGGATTCGGTCTCGTGCTCACTTTTACTCGGAGAACAAGAAGCCTATTCTGGAAGCCATGATGGGTAGGCTGATACCCCTTTTAGCGCATCACCCGGACTATAGCTCCGAACAAGAGGATCTTGTCGATTTTGCCAAGTACATCCTTTTTTACCTGGGCACGGTTGCAGAGGAGTCCAACATCTCTCACATCTACAAGTATGCAGAGCGCGTAAAGCAGACTCGTGACGCTCTCGATCCAGAGAAGAGCGAGAACCTCTATGTTCTTAGCGACTTGGCCCAGGCTGTGATTCGTAAATACCAGGAAAAACGAAATTGGAGCTTCCAGGCTTGGCCGGACAAAGTCGGGCTGCCAACAGGCATCTACGCAGCTTTGCCATCGAGCGAGGTTGCACAGCAAATCGCAAAGAAGCTATATATTCCGGACGAAATCGATGAGAAGCTTGATGATTTAATTAGAGCTCAGGAGCGCAAGAAGGTAAGATCGATGTGGGGTTGCTTCTCCCCTCTATGTTCAAGAACTATGCTGACTTTCTTTTCGTCTAATTTGCAGAAGAGGAAGTCTCTTCATGAGTCGGCGGATCACCCTGCGAAGAGACCAAGGAACCAAATCAAAACCGTTATTCGAGGGAAGCCCAAACCAGCCAAGACGAGCGCAAAGAAGAAGACACCCAAGCGCAAGTCAACCAAAAACCCCAACGTCTCCTCATCGCCGGTGCCGCTATCAGAGCGCAGGCGGAGTGGCCGCGCACATGTGTCATCAAACTACAGGGAAAGGGACGATGAAGAGGACGAGGAGGAAATGCTGGATGGAGTTGCCGAGTGGGACTACGGTTCAGACAGTGACGTGGCAGAGTCTGGAGACGAGCATGAGGAGAATGGCCATGAGGCCGAAGAAGATAAGGGAGAGAATACTTCAGATAATGAGGAAGTGGAAGAAGAGGAAGAACAGCCTTCTGCACGCCGAGCTGTGGCCAAGAAGAAGACGAAGCCAACAGCTGAGGCACGAAAGAGCCCTCGGTCAACACGAGCCAGAGGAAAGGGTGCCAAGGCTACCGACTCGGACATGGACGTTGACGATAGTGACGAATGATTGATTGATTGGGTATTTCTGGACGATTTCTATCTTGCTTTTTATCTATCGCCATTTTCACATACCGTGTTCGATTAGGAAAGGGGTTTAAGACTATCCAAGGTCATTGTTATCTTTTGTATGCTTCCAGCCTTCCAATGAATATAGGCCCTTGAGGAAAACATTCTTTCTTAGTTGTAGTGCCCAAGTTCGGACTTGTCTTTGAAAGTTATCACTCGAATTGTTCGTAATCTCTCCTGTCCGGTCTTGGCCTCACAACATCCTGATAGGATGATGCTAAGTGAAACCCTCATTTGAAAAACAAAGGAAAAGAGAAGAAAAAGAAAACAATCCTACCCAAGACAATTGGAACACAGACGGGATGACGCACTAAGTCTTACGTAGGGTTCGCCCATCATCGCCCGACAGTAGAGAGCTGGAGGTGGTTATGGCTGTGGTTGAGGTTCGAAGTTCGTTCATATAACAATTAGCCAGTATTTTCTTGTCACTATGTAAGAGAATCGCTGATTTTGATCTCTATTTGAAAGAATCCCTCGCATAACAGTGCTCTGCTCATGATTTTCATTCCCTAAACACTACTTAACATACATCGGAGGATCTGACATTATTCTCCCGGGTATTGCGTTCTGCGCTTCAGGCTGGCCGAGGCCGCTTAGAAGGCGAAGACCTGGTCCTCCAGCTTGCTGACGGGGCGAGCCTTCTTGAAGCCCAGGCTCTCGGTGGTTTTCTTCAGACCGCTGATCATGGGAGGGGGGCCGCAGAGGAGAACCTTGACGTCGTCGGCGGGCTTGGGGAGCCATTTCTGAAGAGAAGGGTCAGTGATACGGTCTGAGGGAAATGGAACCCCGATTCGCAAGAACAAGGGAAGCGGGATTTGACTCACGGTGATCATGTCGGCGGTGACATATCCGACACCGCCGGTCCAGCCCTCGGGGGGCTTGTCGAGAACGTAGTGCACACGGATGCCGGCATCCTCCTTGGTCAGGGAATCGAGGTCCTCCTGGAGGAGGATATCCTGGGCGGTGACGTTGGCGAAGATGAGGTCAACCTCGGTGCGGTCGCCCTTCTCGCGGCCGCGGACGATGGCACGGATGACCTGGAGCATGGGGGTGATGCCGGTGCCACCAGCGATCATACCAAAGTGACGGACCATGTTGGGGGTGTAGACGAATGCGCCCTTGGGGCCGCGGACGCGGATGCTCTGGCCGACGATGAGCGAGGCCATGTGCTTGGAGATGTTGCCCTGGGGGTAGGACTTGATGAGGAGGTCGAAGTAGCCGGGCTGGTGGTCTCCGGAGATGGGGGTGTAGGAGCGGACGATTTCCTTGGTGGTGCCATCGGGCTGCTCGATCGGGGCGCCGATGGAGATGTGCTGGCCGATGGGGAGGCCGAGGATCGAGGTCTTTGCGGGGAGCTTGAATCGGTAGCTGAAGGCGGGAGGCCTGGTCAGTCTCTCTAAGATTCTAGGAATCGCATGCCGCCTCCCGAGCGGGATCATTGGCAGGCTGGAAGGGAAATTCACTCACATGGCTACATTGTGGGAGATGACTGTCTTCTCTGCGAGCTCAAACTCCTGGAACGTGTCGGGTTTGAGAACAGGTACGATTCCTGCGAGGCGCAATGGTTAGACGGGAGATCCGACGAGACTCGAGAATCAGCTGGGAAATACTCACGGAGAGCGTACAGGTTGTATGCGCCGAATAGGACGGCTACAATGGCGGCGTAGATGGTCCAGTCCCTCTTGCAAATCCAGGTGCCGGCAATGAGGAGGCCGGCGGGGATGAAGACGTAGTCTCTCCGCACCAAGGCAGCATCTTCGGCAAATAACTCGCTCATGGTGAGTGTACAGAGGTTGAATCGCACTCTGTTGGCGGTGTACACTTGGCTGAGGAAGAGGGGCGGGCTCCTGTGGCCTTATATTGCGAAGGGGCCGAAAAGAATGCTGTGTGAATTGAATATTTCTTCCCCGCCACGGAATTGTTGGGAAAGTCGGCGACCGGGGGCGGTTCGCCTGTTTAGTGCAGTGAACGGTGCGCAATTACCGTAATGGTAAGTGCCTAGTGGTTATGTAGGCGACAGCTTCAGTTCTGGGCCAAAGCAACTAGCCACGCACCAGTGGGATAAGCCGAACACCGAACCACCGAATCAGGCAGCTTGAGGGAGAGATGATGGGTGTTCATGGTGGAAGTTTCGATGCAAGTGATATGGAGTTTATGGGTATCGAGGGTGGTCCTGTATATAACATTTAAGCAGAAAAAATAAACCGTCTCACTTCCTGTCTCTTCTTGCCTCCATCAGGGTACCGACAGACTGGTGGCGGTGCGAATTGAGTAGTGGCAGAAAAAGGGACGCGCAGTCTAACTCCGGCACAGGTTCCCCTCTCTTTTGGGACGAAAGTGGGATATTTCCCCCACCCGCGACAGATCACGTACATTGGGAACTCCATTGAGTGCATTGGACATCCGATACGCATCTCAGAAACTCCTTCAGGCCGAAGGCGACTGCGCATGCCAGGTGGAGACGCGGTAGGCTATCACAAGATGTTATGCAGATACCAATTAGCACCGAGTACCCGAGAGAGACCGACCGCGGGGAAGTGAGGGGCATGCGAACATTATAACACCGCCGCAGGCAATCTCTAGACATGTCTAGAAAAGGCAATAAAGTCCGACGCGATGGAGAAGCTCTCTATTCATTCCCTAACTGGACATGGCTTGCTTCTGATCCTGTCCGAAGTGAGAAGAAAGAAAGAAAGTCCAGTCTCTTCTTCACTGAGCCTTCCATGACCACAGTAATCATAAGCTAATCATAGCATGGATCACATCGGCTGTTCAATAGGTTCGGCTCCAATGATTCAATTGATCTATCAAAATCCTCGAGTTGTTCGCTTCGTTTGGCCAATTGTGGGGGACGGCAAGTGACTGCATAACACGCTCGCCCTTAGAAACTATTTTATATTGGGCTTCCCACCTTCCATTGCAGCCCAGTATCACTATGCTCATGGGCATATTCACTGCAGGTCTCTCGGCTGATAAGATCTTACCCTCTTAGTAAACTTATAGCCGAGACTCAATGTAGAAAGTAGTGCCGGTCGTGAGCTACCGATTTTCGGCGGCAGCAACCGGCGACATCTCCGCGCCTCACAACTGCAGTCACTCGGATGGCGCCTATTTTCCATCCCTTGACCATTGAATAGGGCCACGAGTATAAAAGAAAAAACTCTTTTTCTTCCTTTTTCTTCTTCATCTTTTTTTCTTTCTTCGTATTGTTTCCATTGTCTCCCCATTTGACTAGGGATTGAATGTTCCGCTTAAGCTTTGAGAGCCTCAACGGCTTTTTCAGAACTAACTAGAATCATATCCGAGCGACGTCGAAGAAACCGCGAGGGTTGGTTACGCCTTCATTGGTATGAAACAGATGAAAAAAGCGAACATCATCGCTTTAGAGAACTGTCAAATACCAATGTCAAGTTGGTCTGAACGATTCGATGGTTTGAAAGCACCACGCAAGGCTCACAGTAAACATTGAAGAGGAAGATAGACGGCAACTTCGGAAATTTTCTAATCAACCCTTGTAACAATGTGATTCCAACGCACTGGAGAGTAGACCGCCAAGTTAATAGAGCGGTTGACATTATTGGCGAATTCCTAATATAAACAAACCGGGAAAATCAACCTTGAGCAAGGATTAATATGTTGCACGAGATAACCTGGGGGTAGGTAGGTAAGACCGTGACATCTCAAAAGACTGAGCCCCTGGTCGCGTACTACTATACATTTATAATCAACACTATCCTAAGGGGCGACGCTCTACCATGTATCTGAGATGAGAATTGCTTGGCGACCATGGAGGCTCAGGGGCTTTCTACGGAACGTAAACTCGCTCTCGCCTCTCACAGGGAGTAGGGAAGGGTTGGGGAAGGGTCACCCATTGCTCGTTCACTCGTATTCTTCCATGGCGCACTGAAGGGGCCGGGAGTGGGCGGCGTGGGAGCGAGGACCAAGAATGGGGGATTCCGGGCTATATATACTGGCATCGCCAACGGCATCAGATTAGGTACTCAAGCACGGCGGGTCCGAACTTGGGAGCCGAGCCGCTGGTTCGCCTTACATAATATTATAATGGCGCTCACACGGTGGATGGCCTGGCTCTGCTCGTATCGCTTCAATGCATCCTGCAGCACATTGCAGCTGACTCCCACGGTAACCATCCATAAAGACGGGGTCAGGCCCACAGGCAGCGTCATCCTGTAAGCAGGGTCGGCATCCATCCCAGCAAATCCCGTTCTTGGGGAGAGGCTCCCACGAACGTCGCCTGCAACAAACATGGCCTCGAATGCACCTCTGGCTGGAGTTTCTTTTCTATCTCGGTCATGGCCTGACCGAGGCCTTCCAGAGCGTCGACGGTGCGGAGGGACCCCAATGCGTCCTCTCCAATTGCGTCGTCCATCCCATGGATCAAATTGCACGGGGTTCCCTAGCTGTTTGGCAGTTTCGCTGCTAGAGCCTAATGGTGCTACGTAGTTGCAGCTCCGGATCCCGATCCACGACACTGATCTTGATTCTTACCCTGGTCAAGCCCGGACCATTCTATGGCACGTTCAATGCAGGCTGGTTGTTTCATCAGCGAGAAAACATAGGTGACCTCACCGTTTCCCATCAGTTCTGCATGAGGCCTGAGCCACCAGCGCGCTTTTCGTCTTGTTTTTTTCCCGCAATTTCTCTTCTTCCATGTAAATTCGCATCAGCTGTCCTTGGTCCTTATCACCTTCCCACTGCAACACCGTCCCCTCCTCCCGCCCCCCCTTCGCCCTCTTCATCACCTCATTCGGTGGTGTGTATGAACAAATAGCCTTTGGCCAGCTCCGTCATTCTCAAATCGCCCTTGTTTGTTCTTCTCCCGCGCTAAGCACCAGCGTTATTCTCGGCTTGCCAGGCAGTTATTTACTTAGCCCCTGGGCCTTCGCCACGCCCTCAATTCGCTAGCTTGGCAGCACGTGCATTTGTTTACATACGGACGGGAATCCCATGCACTTCTCGAATACGACGGTGTGAAGGCTGCAGCTTACAAGAAGAGGAAGGACGGGTCCAATACGACCCGGCAAGCCGCCAGCAACCTACCTAGGATCAACCACCACACCTCCGCCTCCTCCTCGTCCGACTCTGTCCTTCCCAACACGCCTTTTTCTCGTGACGAATCAAGCGGGTGGCTCAGCGCCTGCGAATCCGTCTCTAGCGCTTCTGCAGAGCCGCTTTACAGACAACGGTCTCTTGGAAACGCCCGCCTCGACGCCCCAGCACCCGATTGGAGCATCTGCCCAGCTCGCGGTCGTCTTAACCTCCGGGGACTCCAAGGGCGGCAAGGGGGCTAATCTGCAAGTGACTGAGGTCCGCAGTGCCGCCAACCACCTACGTACCACCCAAGATCCAGCTAAGCTCAGCTAAGCTCCGTCTCCCAGGTCTCTGTACCTCATCACACCTTAGGTACCCCTACGTACGTTCCATGGTGGATGGACAAGCTCACCTCACATTCCCGCCCTGTTTGCTGTGCCATGTTTGCCCCTCTCCGCCTGTTGTTTCCGTCGTCTTGAAGATTCTTGCATAATAGCCGGCCGTTCCTCTGATCCCCAGCATTCCCTGTTTCTGCGCCCATTCCAGTTTGCTTCGTGCTGAACAAGATTCCGCAACCGCTCCACTCCAGGCCGAGTGAGAGCTTGAAGCTCCTACGCCAGCCGCCCTCAACCCGGACGACCACCACCCTCTCTCTCTCTCTGTCCAGCGTTTCTATTTCGCCCCTGCCCCATAGTTGTTGAAAAAAAAGTCGATTTCCTCCCATCCCATACATAGTTTTGCCCCAGACGCCCATAGACGTCAATTCAATTCCAATCTGAATTGGCGATCGCGTAACTAAAAACGGGAAAGCGATCTGCGACTAACTAAACGACGGATGCGGAGAGAGGAGCCATCAGGTGCTGTTTAGGACCGACTCGGGCTGTCTACGTGCAGTGCAGTGATTTGAGACATTCGGTCATAGCTGGGGAAAACCGAGACACAGTCCTGCATGTCCACTGAATCCAATTTCCTGGTCTGATTATCATCTCGCCAATTCTCCTGGAGCTTCCTTAGATCATTGCCTCAGATCACATCGAGCACCAGCTGAAGAACTGATTGTGGCAGCCCCGTGGGTGGTGGCCGTGTGGTGGCTTGGTTGTCCCTCCTCTCGTATCGTCCTACTCCACCACAACCGCCATCATGCCCTTATTAGTACCAGAGAAATGGAAGCGGATGACAATGTCATCATCTCGGTCTAGGCCAACTACACCGAGTCCGCAGGACAGTCTCGAAGTGCCTGAGCCAGAGCCCAAGACGCCCCGAGGGCTATCCCGAGCTCTCCGCTCTATCAGCAACCCGTCTCTTGACTCACTCAATAGCAGCGGGATGCGGAGGACAAACTCGGCCCGGCGTTTGACCAAGACGTCGGCGAGCTCGTCCATGATCGAGAGGTTCCAGCGTCGGTATTCCAGGGATTTTCAGAGCAGCATATCCCAAAGCGAGGTCTCGGTAGGCTCTCTGGAGCCAACGTACCACACCATGGAGGTGCTGCGATCTGGCCATCTGAAGACGGATGTCACGTTACTTAAGGCTCGGTCCGAGTATCTGGTCCTGACCGACCAGACTTTGATCAAGTTTGGGAGCATCGACGCTGCGCGGGTAGTGTTCCCACAGCTGGGCCCGCCTGAAGCTCGGCGTCGCAGCTTGGGATCCCAGCAGTTGATGGGCAGCAAGTCAGCAGTTACAGACATCCGCTTTGAAGTACCTCTACAGTCCATTGTTGGTGTCTTCAACGAGGAAGGGGCCAGTCCTCGCTTTGGTGTTGAGGTTTGGTGGTTCTCCCAGTGGCCTCGCCTCGGGTACTGCAAAGCCCAGCTTTTTTTCTCCCAACCGCAAGATCGGGATGAGTGGCTTATTTCTATCCAGCGGGCGTGTAGAGCAAAAAACAGGCGCTCGCCGGCGACCTCGATGATCCCCGAGAACCTCAAGATTCGCATCAACCATATCGTTGCGGCAAACGAGCCACAGCAGGCGACAGGATCGACACAAAATCTCATCTTTCCTGTCGCCAAGCGATACATTTGGACGTCGCAGAAGGCCACAGCGAACGAGGAAACGCAGCTGCAGGTGGACGGGTCGTCCTTCTATCTCGTTATTGGCCCTTATATGTGCTACTTTTTGGAAGTGTTGAAAGCAGACCATGGAACAGCACCAGGCGACCTACGGATAAAGTCAATCGCTTTCGGAACTGTCACTCTGACGAGATTCAAGGCATCAGTGCTCTCACACGAGCAGCGGTTTGTTATGAGCTTCCGGTCAGTATGCCCATTCACCCTACAGCGACGTATGTTCTGACACATTGCAACAGGCCTCCATTCGGGCGCGAGACGAGACTGGACCTTGCCAGCTCCAACTATCGACGGATTATCGAGGCGTTGACGAGAATGGATCGCATCTTAAAACCCATGTGGCCTCAACATTTCCAACAGCACATCTTCGATATCAGGGGCCTCCCGCCTCCCCTGCAGCTTACCTCTGGTAACGACTTGGGAGGCATTGAGCAGAGTTTGAGGGCCTATTGCGCAGCATATGGCGTAGGCATGCCGCAGTGGAGTGTAAATTGGGATCATGGGAGCCAACCAGTGTTCCGCCTCATCCCCCCAAAAGGGGCACCGTATACTCCTCTCCAACTCATGGCTGTGTTTCGGTCTCTGCGATACAATGGATATTTCAAGTCAATTTCCTTCAGGGACGTTGACTTGTCGTCACTGGCTGGTAAAATAGACGGTAACGAGGCTATCGTGCACACCTCCATTAACGGTGAGGACTCATCAGCTGGAAATGGTTGTCGAACTGAAAGTGTACTAACCCGATGCTAGGTTACAAAATCTCCGAAGAGCACTACGAGCATTTGACCGGGGCACCAGTTCTCACACAAGAACTTCACTCGCTAGCATTCGCGTCTGAATCCGTCCGCAGCATCGATCTTACAAACGTTTTGGGTGCCCAGACCCGGGGAAATCAACAAAGCCGCCTTCAGCCCGACTATACGAAACTCTGCAAAACCAGCTCCGAGATGCTGCGCCCTATCACGCTGCTTGCCCGAGGACAACTTCAGACTTGTCATACCATCAACATGTCCGGGAACCCGGTAGCCGTGGATGATATTGAAGAGTTTGGTTCGTGTCCCTATGCTTGCTCTCAGGTTTCTATTGTGCTGACTGATATCTGCAGCGAATGTCTTGCTTCTGGATAATGTCTCGTTCAGGTCGTTGAAGTTTGCGCGTTGTCGACTTGGGGATGAAGGCCTTTCGACTTTGTGGACCGCCTTTGCTGGACAAGCCGGCTCTTTGGAGGTGATCGATACATCTGATAATCAGGGCACGATTAAGCCCGAATTACTCAAATACTCCCTTCGCCAACTCCAGTACCTTCGCAAGCTCAACATCGCTGGCAACACTCGGCTCAACACCGGTCAGTCTCTATTCGAGGAAGCAACCCTTCACACGTGGGAATTGGAGGAACTTGATCTCTCCAACATCACGGTAAGCGTTCTCTCCTTTCTCTCTCTCTCTCTGTTTTTTTTTAGAACCAAAAGCAAAAAAGTACCGACGATCAATACTGACGGACCGTCAAGTTGAACGACGCCACTATTGATGTGTTGTGTGGTTACCTTGGAGCAACCGCATCCTGGAATCTCGAGACTCTGCGGCTTAATCAGTGCGGCCTGAACAGCAAGCAGATTGCCCTAATTTTCCGGTGTATGGGTCAGGGGCGGAGGATGGTAGTTGAGATTGATGGCAATCGATTGGACGAGGGGATAGATGACCTCTGCAGCGCACTCTCCCTCAACTATGGACCGTGGAGCCTTTCAATTCAGATGGTCGAGTTCAACTTGGAAACCAGCTTCGTCCAGTTATGGAAGGCTTTGACAGTCAACAGCGTCATCGAATGTCTGAGCCTGGCTGGCTCGGCCACAGCTGATGCTATGAGCACAGCCTCATGCAACATCATTGCCGAGTTCTTTTCTAAGAACGAGTCTGTAAGATTTCTTGACATATCCGGCTTCGATGCCAGACTTGATGAGGGACATTTGGGACGAGAGTTCTCTCACACCTTGAAAGCCATCAAGTCGAACCAGACGATTGAGCATCTGAGAGTTCGCAGCCAGATGCTTAACATCAATATTGGTGATCTTGCCGACGCGATATCTGGGAACAACACCCTACACACGTTAGACTGCGAGGACAATGACTTCAATCTATCGAACTTCCGCCATCTAGTAAGGCACCTGGGCGACAACTGCACCATTCGAAAGTTCTCGGCATTTACGCCTACGGAATTGGAGAATGTGGTGAACAAGGCGGTCATGACGGCCAACTTCCCGGTCAATCACTCTCGACGATCATCTTTGATGCTGAAACTGCGAAACGACAAGCCACAAATCAGCAACATTGAGGGAATACTTGCACAACAGCTCAAGGAAGAATGGGACGCCGCAGTGGCGGAGCTCACATTTGTGCTGGAAAGGAACCAGAAAAGTTTTCAAGAGGAAAACGGCGCCAACCTTTCTCCTTCTGATCGTGAGGGAGACAGCATCTTCGCAGCCTCGTTTGGTGGGCTAGCCCTGGAAGACTACGAGTCCAGCCGGAAGAGGCCACAAAGCGAATCCGAACTAGTTATCAGGGTCAGCGAGGGTCCTATGTTGCCAGACATCCAGACTACCCCAGGTGGGCAGGTGGTGATGCCAGCACGAACAAACTCGACCGTCTCTAGCGATGCAGCCGTGAGCCCAACAAGCGTCGCCGGCAGCTTTGCGCTTCCGGGCGAAACCCCCCCTGATGGCGGAAGCATCTCTGAGAAGTTGCTACCGCAGTTTGCGGGGGCGTCAGAAGATGACCACGACAGCAGCTACACCTTTCTTGACGGGCCGCTGGGCGACAGCGACTTGGTGATGCAGATATATCGACGCCCTTGGGGTGAGACGGTGAGCTGCATCCGCGAGGAAGACGACGGTAACTAGGTTTTTTCTTAACCTATCATTTCTTTTCTTTTTCTCTCCTCTTTCTATTTCATTTTTTGGATATATTTAGCAAGGGAAAAATAATTGGTATCATATCGTATCTGGATATATGAAGCGGCATTTACTTATACAAGCGTTTGAGCATGAACGCAATGGGTTGTGGGACGTTCGAAGGCGACTGAAAAGAAACATCAGCGGGCGTTTTGGATTTTGGGATTGATTTTTTTTTATATTTATTGCATCGATACCCCTTCATAGAAAGGCCTGGAACATCAACTGGTATTCAGGGATCCCACGAGGGACTTGCTAGAAAGGAATAAACATCAAATTTAAGCTTGAGTCAACTATTGCTTTGCATGAGAGTGTGTTGTGACGGTACTATGGGAGGCTCTGCTTACTGCAGGCCATTCTGCATACAACTGGGCGAGGCGATTACTGGCAACACCTGGATGACATTGAAACTGATACATTCAAACATTGTTCTAGTTAATTTCGAGTCTATGGCCACCATTATTATGTTATTGAGCGCTAATACTAAATACCCAAGAGCTAATACACTAATCAATTTTCAACTTGTGTGACTTAATTTTAATGTATTAATCTGATTGCTGCAGAAAATGCCCTATTCATAGCTGTCTTCAATCTACTGTCGCATTTCTTCTGTCACCCGGTCGCATAAACAGTGGGAAGACGGCAAGCGAAACTGCGCCACAGCAACGAGAGGCCCACACCCATGTCATCACTGCCAGACGCCTGATTGGGTGCGGCTTGGGCCTAAATCAAGGAGGTCGTCAGTCCGCATCGACAGACACACAGGCAGCACTCAATCAAGTTGGCGAGAGCTTCGTCATCTCCCAGCCTCGACCTAATTTAATCAGTCAACCCCCCTTTTCCCCGCAAACAATCCCGCTCACTGGGTGCAGGATTGTATCGTGTACCATTCCCCAGGTATATCGCAATTCTTGCGACACTTGCTGTTAATCTCTCGCGTGCCTGTCTTGCATCCGGGCGAGAGAGTGCTACACCCGCCGCAGCCGTCACCGACCGCCGAGCTTTCATGCTCCCCCTACGGCGTCCGCGAGCACCTCAACGTCATCGAATTCACCATAGCGTCTGTCCTTATATAACGCGATGTATTCCAATTCCAACGCCTTCTTAGGCGGCAACAGCCAACGGCCGGGTGGCCAGCAACCGCAATATGGCGGCTTCAATGCGATGGGAGGCCAGCAGCCAGGCCAGCAGCCCAGTCCATTCGCTCCTCAGCCTACTGGCTTTGGACAGCAACTCGCGGGCCAGCCTACCGGGTTCGGACAGCAACCACTCCAACAACAATATACTGGGTTTCCCGGGCAGAACCAGCAGCCAGCCAGCCAGATCCAGTCGCCGCCGCTGCAGCAGCAGTTTACTGGGTTCCCAGGCCAAGCTCAACCTCAGCAGAGCTTCCAGACCGGCGTCCCGTCTATGCCAGCGATCCCGGCCCAGTACCAACAGCAATTCCAACAGCAGCAGCAGCAGCCACAGCCACAGCAATCCTCGTTTCAGGGGCTGCAGACTGCTTCCCAAACTGGCTTCTCTAGCTCTCCCCAGCCGACCGTCGAGACCCCGATGAAGCCTCAGCCAACCGGGTTCAACGAGATGGCAGCATCCTTCCATACAGGCAGCAGTTCGAGACCCCAGGGCCGTCGAGCGGAGAAGAAGGCAACGGTGAACAAGATTCCCAACATCCGACTCTCATTCATCACAGCAACGGATCAGGCCAAATTTGAGACGTTGTTCAAGTCGGCCGTGGGGGAGAGCTCAACCACAATGTCTGGAGAGAAGGCCAGGGATCTTCTTATGCGATCGCAGCTGGATGGTGACTCGTTGTCGCATATTTGGACGCTTGCCGACACCACCCGAGCTGGCCAGCTCTACTTCCCAGAGTTCGCTTTGGCAATGTACCTCTGTAACCTCAAGATGAACCGCAAATCGCTCCCACCGACTCTACCTGATAATATCAAGAATGAGGTCTCCAGTATGGTCGATATTATCAGCTTCAGCGTTGTTGATGATACCCCGGATACCCGAACTAGCAATGCCACTCCCCCAGCCATTCAGCATCCCCAACCTCAACCGCAGGCATCCAATGCGCAGTTGCTCCAAGCCCAGATGACTGGATTTCCCGGGCAGGCCAGCCCATCTATTCCTACCCAGCCTACTGGCTTCCCTGGACAGCAAGTTGGCCAAGGCCTTCAGCCCCAAGCTACTGGCTTTCCTATGCAGAATGCCCAGGCCACTGGATACCAGGGACCACGACCACCGATGCCCCCGATGCCCACCGGCTTCAACCAGCCTGCAGCGCCACTTAATGCGCAGCCCACCGGGCGTCCTGGCCAGTGGGGACTCGTCAATGCGCCTGCTAGCGGTTTGCCTAACATTGATGCCCTCCAGGCGAGGATGATGCCTCAGCAGGGGCGTGAGGCCGGATCGTTCACGACTCAGGGCCTTCAGGGCAACGCCGTCATTCCATGGGCTATCACCAAGGAGGAGAAGACGCGATATGATTCTCTGTTCAGGGCATGGGATGGCATGGGCAGTGGTTTCATTGGTGGTGCACAGGCTATTGAAATTTTCGGTCAGAGCGGACTTGAGAAGCCTGACCTGGAACGAGTCTGGACTCTGGCAGACAATGGAAACAAGGGACGCTTAGATTTGGACGAGTTCGCCGTCGCGATGCATTTGATCTACAGAAAGCTGAACGGATACCCTCTGCCCAACACCTTACCCCCTGAGCTTGTCCCCCCTTCCACCCGAAACTTCAGCAAATCAATCGGTGCTGTCAAGTCAATGTTGAGCAAAGAATCAGATGATCGCAAGAACTCTGGTGCTGCTTTGCTTCCTCAGAAGACTGGTGTGAGCTACATGAAGAACCGATCTTTCAGAGGCGGTGCTGGAGGTGGCTCTACAGGCGGACGCAAGGATGCTACCGTCTTCCGAAACGACAACGAGGAGTTTGGGTATAAATCCAGTGCTCGTCGCAGAGTGGGCAACCACTCTCCTCGACCTGATTCTCCCGCATCTGTTGACTCGCACGAAGACCTTTCCCTCGACCAACTCCGCAAGAAGATCCGCGAGAAGCAGGTTCTCCTGGATGCCCTTGACTTCAATGATGAGCAGCACGCAGAGGAGGATGATATTCTAGACAGGCGTGACCGCAAGGAAGCCGATGAGCTCTACCGCCGAGTTCGCCGTATTCAGTCAGACATTGATGCCCATCCGGCCGCTGCCAGCGTCTCCGGAGATTCGGATGCGGAGAGACGCGCTCTTAAGCGTCAGCTCCAAAACCTCACGGACAAGATCCCCGAGCTTGCTTCTCAGGTCCGCAAAACTGAGAAGGCCATCCTTGACGCCAGAATGGAACTGTTCCGACTCCAGGACGCAAAAGCCCACCCTGGCAGTGCAAGCAATATTGTCGGCACCGGTCCTGGCGGCAGCGTGACAGAATCCGACCGCCTCAAGGCCAGAGCCAAGGCCATGATGCAGCAGCGCACCGCCGCTCTGACCGGAAAGAAGGTCGACGCTGTGTACGATGATGATGCTGCCTCTAAGCGCCTTGAGGAGGAGAGTATCAAGGTTAAGAATGAGAAGGAGAGCAACGAACGCATGGTCAGAGATGTCGAGGAGAGCGTGCGTGACTTTGCTCGGGGCATCGACGACAGCCTCAAGGAAGGCGCAGTAGACGAGTCTACCCAGCACGAGAAGCGTCGCTGGGAGGACGCATTGGGTGTTGAGGATGAGGTTCGCGATTTCATCTTCGACTTGCAGCGTGAGAGCCGCGCTGCTCGTGTTCGTTCTCAGGACAAGGTGGCCGCTCGCTCGTCAGCTCGTGTAGAGGAAACTCGCTCCCCCAGCCCCCGGGTTGAGTCTCCTGTGGCTACATCTCGCACTAGTACTCCCTCGGGAGGTAACTCCTACTCCGCCTACAAGACACCTGAAGAACGAGCTGCATTCATCAAGCAGCAGGCAGAGCAGCGAATGGCTGAGCGCCTAGCTGCTCTTGGCATCAAGGCGCCTGGGAAGGCAGGTGAGACTGCTGCCCAACGTGCTGAACGGGAGAGGAGCGAGCGGGCTGCGAAGCTACGCCAGGCAGAGGAGGAAGACGCTCGCAGAGATGCGGAGCGCAAGGCTCGTCTTGCTGAAGAGCAAGGTGTGCCCCCACCTGCCCCTGAGGCCGAGGCTGAAGCTCCCAAGCCTGCGGCCAAGAAGCCCCCTCCTCCACCCAGCAGGAACCGTGGTAGAAATGATGCTGCCAAACACGCTGAGGAGGAGCAGGCTGCACAGGCTGCAAAGGCAGCGGAGGAAGAGAGGCTTGCCAGGGAACACGAGCAGCAGCAACGTGAAACTCAGCAGCTCCAGTAAGTTCAACCCCTTTTTTTTTATTGAAAAAAATATTTTTTCTCTTTTTTATATATGTTAACCGATTATTTCCAGGCAACACGCCAAGGAACAAGAAGATGAGTTCGAAAAGGAGCAAGAGGCTGCGCAAGCTCGACTCAAGGCCCTCGAGGAACAGGTCAGACGTGGGAAGCTGAAGAAGGAAGAGGAGAAGAAGAAGAAGAAGGCTGCTCTCGCCGCAGCCAAGGAGAAGGAGGCCAAGCTGGAAGCCAGACGTGCTGAGATTGAGGCGGCGAAGCAGAGGGAGCTTGAGCTTCAACGCCAGTTAGAAGCCATGGACGACGACAGCTCATCCTCAGATGATGAAGGCCCGGAACAAATCACACCCCAAGCATCTACGCCTACGATCTCAGCAAGCCAGGAACTTGAGCGCAAGCCAAGTCCTCCCCCGACTCTCCCTCTTGCATCACCGCCAGTTGTTGTGTCTCCTCCTGCCGACAACGAGAGCAAGAACCCATACTTCAGGATGATGGCTCAACCAAGCCAAGAAGCAACCTCCCCCCCTTCAGTACCTGCCGCTGCTCCTCCTGCTCCCCCAGCACCAGCACCCGCTGCTCCGGCGCCCC